CCCCTGTCACGGCAGGGAGCCGTGACAGAATCGAGAGGTGAGCGAACGCCGGTATGTGTTCGCTCACTTCCCGATCTTCAGAGCCGACCTGTGACAGTCTCATTGTCACAGGTCGGCTAGAACTATGAGGTGAGTGAAAAGCACCCCACACCTCATAGTTCTCCTTTAAGTAGAAAAGATACATTGAAGTGATTTTGATGTCCCCGAGTAGGTCAGGGTATTTTTTTTTACATTATTTTGCTGTTTGTGGTTTATCATCACTTCCTGCCATGGAGATGCAACAGGAAGTGATAACAAAAAACCTCTCCAAAATAAAGGAAAATCCTCTCTTAGTTGTCACCGGAACAAGTGTCCCCATTGCAAGGTTTAGAGGGTGGATCACAAAATATAAAAGACTTTGGCATTAAACACACATGACATAGTGTCATGTTACTGCAAATACCTTGAGAACTTCCTCTTCGGTGACAATGGTGTCGTTCCCCAACTTTGTCTCTTTGATGGTCTCGTTATGGTAATTAGGTGGGAGGTCCTTTAAGGCCACTCTGTCTGCCGAGGTCTCTTCAGCCTCCATCTGGAACAAGATAATTGTTACAGATCTTCATCTTTGTGGACTACAGCAGTTACTCTCTTCTCATATCTGAATGTTGTTGTACTGACGACCTATTGAGGGGTTCTGATTTTCATCCCGGTCGCCTGCCTGCGACGGCTCCTTAAATGCCTACACTTATCAGTATCTTTGAATGGGGGTCCTGTGAATGGACAGCAAAGAGATACAGCTAGGAAATAGAGAGGAGAGACAGCCAGGAAAGAGAGAGAGAGGAGAGACAGCCAGGAGAAAGAGGAGAGACAGCCAGGAGAGAGAGAGACAGCCAGGAGAAAGATAGAGAGGAGAGACAGCCAAGAGAAAGCAAGGAGAGACAGCAAGAAGAGAGAGTGAGAGAGAAAGCCAGGAGAGAGAGAGAGAGAGAGAGGAGAGACAGCCAAGGGGAGGGTGAGGAGAGAAAGCCAGGAGAGAGAGAGAGAGAGAGAGGAGAGACAGCCAAGGGGAGGGTGAGGAGAGAAAGCCAGGAGAGACAGTGAGAGAGAGGAGAGACAGCCAGGAGAGGAGAGACAGCCAAGGGGAGGGTGAGGAGAGAAAGCCAGGAGAGACAGTGAGAGAGAGGAGAGACAGCCTGGAAAGAGAGATTGGCGCCTTGTCCTGCTTCTGATTCTCACACGGCAGCCCTGCTGCACAGAGACTGCAATGGGCTGATTCCAGGTCACATTCGGATACTCATACCGCTTGTATTTATAAATACATTGTATCTTTTATATCTTCTGAGGGCTTGTTCACACCATACACAGTGCGTTGCAGCGCGGTTACCAGCTGGAACGCACTGTATGGTATCCTGGCCAGCTTGCGTTCAGGGGCGGTAGGGGGAGTGGTGGTGCATTGAAGTCAATGGTACCGCAGCCACACCCCCACCGTCCGCGGTGCGATCGCCCGCACAGAACGCGTGGCACATCAATGCCTGCCTTCCGGTCCAGTGCGATCTGAAGAAATGCCGCCTGCGCTATGGTATATGGTGTGCACAAGGCCTTAGAGTTCAGCTTCCCCGTGTTATATGAGATCTCAGTATTTGGGTTACATCCCTCGTTAATGTGGCGGAATATCCACGTCTGGCCCCGCGGCTCTGCGTCCTTCTCCCCCGCCAGACGTTTGCTTCATCTCCCAGAAATAAAAATCCATGTGGTTTTTTTTTTCCAGGCGGGGAAACCTTGGACTCGGGGGGAGAAGCTGCGGCCGCATTTCTTTCTGCACCTTCCTCGCCGTCTAATATAACTCCCTGCCAAGAAAATTCTGCCTTCGGAGGAGAAGAAAGAAAAAGCAAAGCGTTGAGGTTTGTGGGCGCGGGGAGGCGAAGGAACCGGAAAAATATCGAATTCCGTCACCCCCGTTAACCGGTTATGTCCCGGAGATAAAACCAGCTCCAGCGTGCCGGGTCACTGACCAGTGTGATGATACCGCCACGACTGTGCTAAAGGGAAACTGTCAGGTGCCTGGCCGTCATACTGATCCTCTCCCTGTAATTTGTGGGCGGAGCCTGGACTCCAAATTTAATGGGAATTCCAATAGGATGAAGTGATTGTTCTAATGTGCCGGAGTTCTATCAAAGATTGTGATTGGGTTGGAATGTGTGACCGGTCACACATTCTAACGTAATCCCGCCCAGTTTTTCGGCAGTGGAATATGTGACCGGCAAACGGTGAAGAATTCCGACACTTTCTCAGCTGTTCCAGGGCATCGCGCATCGTATGTGCAGGAGAACCGCGCGGATCGTATGTGCAGGAGCTGATCGGCATCGCGGATCGCAGGTGCAGGAAAACCGATCTGCCCTGGAGCAGCTGATCGGCCCTGAAATGTCACTTCTATCCGACTTTGTGGAACGTGAGATCGCACTCACAAAGTCACACTTCAGGACCGATCAGCTGCTCCAGGGCAGATCGGTTTTCCTGCACCTGCGATCCGCGATGCCGAGCTGCCCTGGAACAGCTGAGAAAGCGTTGGAGCGTTTTCCCCTTTTGCCGGTCACATATTCCACCGCCGAAAAAGTGGGCGGGATTACATTAAAATGTGTGACCGGTCACACATTCTAACGCAGTCACAAAGCTTGATAGAACACCAGCTCCCTGATGCTTGACGCTGACACTAAATACACAGACGACAGAAGGCACCGCCACGCCCCCCTCCCGCCCCTAAACGCAGGGAGTGGCCCGGGATGCGATCCAGTGCGTTCCGGCAGCAAATCGGGCCGGAACGCACTGTAAGTGGTGTGAACTAGCCCTCAAATCTAGGCCAAACGCATATAGAATGCCGCTCAGGTGGATTGTCTGGCAGCCAAATGTTGTATTTTCCTTCACTTTCAATCACAATGCTCAACAAAACATACAGAGAGCAATAAGAACATTACGGGGCCTCTCTCCCGCACCGAAGGTAAGTGGGAAAAAAAAACATAGCGCAAACATCGGGGCATTTTGACAAGTACTTGTCAAAATGCCCTGTTTTTTCCGCCCTCACCCTGCAGCGCCCTCAGGCGGCCGCCTGACTTGCCTTGCGGTAACGCCGGGCCTGGATGCAACAACGCTTTCCTTGTTCTGCCCGGCATAAGCTGTGCCCGTCAGCCCGCCACCGGGAAGGACTAAAAGAAAAAAAGGTTTGGTTTTCTACGGTTCGGGTGACACACAATTCAGACTGAAGTACAGCAGGAGATCCCCCGGAGCGTCGTGGGCTCGGACCCTCTAAGCTCTGACATGCTGCATTGGAGGGCCGGCCGCATGTAAGTACATACACCGAGCTTTCTGCAGAGGCTCTTGGCAGTTCCGAGCACGGAAACTTCCTAAACACGATGCTGGAGCTTTTATTCTTTAAGAGGAGCTCTCCGTGCCAAAAACAAGTCTAAATTATAACGTGTGAAGCCAAGTCACCAACCCTATACCTAACCTTAACCACTTCAGTCCCAGAGCATTTTCCTCCCTATACCCCCTTTATATCCCGAAGCCTTATTCTCCGTATTCCTCCAATTAGTCCCAGAGCCTTTTTAACCCCCATGTATCCCAGGGAACTTTTCTTCCTTAACCTCCCCTAGAGCCTTTCCACCTCATGTTACCTCCATGAATCCCAGAGCCTTTCCCATTCAGATACTCCCCATTTAGACACAGAGCCTTTTTCCACTAAACCCCCATTGAGTTACAAAGCCTTTTTTTCCCTATACTTCCATTGAGTCCCAGTCCCAGTCCTTCTCCCACTATACTTCCATTGAATCCCAGTCCCAGTCCTTCTCCCCCTATACTTCAATTGAATCCCAGAGCCTTTTCCTTCCTATACCCCCATTTATACCAGAGAACTTTTGGTCCCTAAACCTTTCTTGAGTCCTGGAGCCTTTCCTCCTCATGTTACCCCCATGAATCACAAAGCCTTTTTTCCCCCCTACACCGTCATTGAGTCCCAGAGGCTTTTTCTTCCTATACCCCTCTCGAGCCCCAAACCCTTTCCCTTCCCATAGCGCCTTTGAGTCTCAGCGCCTTTTCCATCCTACACCCCCACCCAAAGAGTTTTTCTTCCCCATACCTCCCTTGCATCCCAGAGCCTTTTCCTCCCTATAACCCCCACGAGTCATAGAGCCTTTTCTGCCTTTTACCTCGCTTGCATCTAAGAGCCTTTTTCTCCCTACAACCCTCCATGAGTCCCAGAGCCTTTTCTTCACTTTACCTCCATTGACTCTCAGAGCCGTTTCCTCCCTACAACCCTCCATGAGTCCCAGAGCCTTTTCTTCACTTTACCTCCATTGACTCTCAGAGCCGTTTCCTCCCTACAACCCTCCATGAGTCCCAGATTGAGTCTTAAAACCTTTTCCAACTAATGGGGATCGGCTATGCGGCCATTTCTTCCCACAATTCTTCCTCAGGAGAGATGTCTCCTCCGTGCCTCGTACCTCTTTCACAGCGTTGGCCAGCTTAGAGTTGGAATCCCTAATGAGATCCTCCACCTCTCTGAAGATGTCGTTCAGGTTGTCCTTCTCCCCAGGGAGGTCTGAAAGGGGATCCGGGGCCGGAGGCTCCGCGGTGGTTGCGGCATCAGAATTCACAGATCTTTGGGTTGGAGAGGCCGCCGCAAAGCTCAGGGTCACCGCTAAGAAGACCAGAAGCATCCTGGGAAGGACAAGGGTGGCGCGCTCCATCGTGCCCTCTAATAGACGAAGAATTCAATCTCAGTGACCTGCAGAAGAAAGGAAAATGGAGTCAAGGTTCCTCTGGGTTGGTTCTCGGATGCCCCCCAACAGACCAACTTTGGGTTCTTCCCTAAAAAATCACGAGAAACGTGGAAAGGACGAGCTGTCTGATCCATGAGCAAATCGGCCACGAGCCAAATTTTTTGTTTTTCTCAATAATTTTGTCCAGTTTTTAACCCTAATCAATTCTCTCCAAAGTTTAAGCCCCCATGAAGGGGGGTCCTAAGAACCCGAAACATGTTATATAGTATACAACAAATACCTGCTGGGCTCATACTAGTGCTGTGGTGCTCTCATGCTTTCCTCAGTTCTCAGACTACCCTGGAGACCCTCGAGGACACCCCGGCAGACAGAGAGCGGCCTCCTGTTTTTGGACCTGAACCCTTACCTGTCTCCAAACCTGTTGGTCCAGCCTTGGGTGTCCTCAAGTTGACCCTTCAGGACACCCCAGCTGACAGAGAGCTGCCTCCAGTTTTTGGACCCAACCAATTGTGTTCCTCAATAGGTCCAAAGAATTAAAATTAGGGATGCACCGGTTTTTCGGTATAGAGTACGAGTACCCGCCGCCTGGCTTCCTGATTGGCGGGGAAGCCGGCTTCATGTTCCCTCGCGGCACTGCCGGTCAGAGGACATCTCCCTCTGACC